GCTGTGCAAACCATCTAGCTTGGCACTAACATACAATACAAGGAGGATTATCATAGCACTGGTTTAAAGAAAGCTTAAATGAAATAACAGATTTCTACATTAAAGCTGCAAAGCTGTGTAATGACATTGCTTTATGGATTAATAACCATACCTGATAGTGTGAGCGATATACAAAGCTGAAATTATTAATAAGCGCGAGTAATTGGTGTAGGTTATTAATAGGATCCTCTGACTAAGGCGTTTCTCTCACACAGGTTCAGGTTTCTGTTGGCAGGTCGATTTACGAACATCGGTACAAAAGCTTTCAAGCACCCCAATTAACATATTATTTCATTTTTATTTATTACATTTCTATCATGTTAGGATGTTATTAGCTTGCAACATTTCACTAGTGTCCAAAGAAAAATGGTATCTCCAAAAACAGTAACTTTACCAGAGAGGGCAAAAGTGTTATTTACTTTAATGTAAGTTAAGAATAAGTAAAGATTTTATTCTAAGGAATTTTGAAGCATTTCTGTTGTTCATTTATCATGGAATTTTTGCTCAATGTAAAAGTCAGATGTTGAGCTGACTTTTGATGTAGAAAAATAAAAAGTGCAAAAAATGGAGATACTTGTTTTTTAATATATGACATTATAGATGTCTGTTTACGCTTCGCAGGATGTTCTGTCCATAAGGCACTCGAGGCATCATGGGGTGCAACAATAAGCTGGATAGACAGTAAAGAATGCAGTGGACAGTGCTTGTTTTTCACTGTTGATCTACTGCTTGAGCTGTTTGAACATGTCTGTGCTGACCGGCGCAGTGCTTTAAATCACTATTCTCTTTTTTGGCCCTTTTTTCTCTTTTGGCCGAACATTGATGGCAGAAATTTCAGTGCATCTGCAATCAGTATAAAGACGTACCGATCAAAATTTTTGAATCCCTTTCTTCAATAATATAAAATCAACTTAGTTGCAGACAAGTGCATAAAGTAAGTCTAATAATCATTAGTAGCGCACTAGTATGAATAGGGCGTTATGATATTCTAATTAATAGAAAATGGTTGAAAAAGATGCATAGCATTGAGAAGTAAGTTTCAGGTAAATCAGAGAGCTCATATCAAATATTCCTCACTTTTTTTTTTTAATAAATGATTTTGATGTAATATGCTATCGTTGTTCAAAACATACCATTCACTCCCCAGTTTATGTGTGGAAACTAAGCTGCAAAAGTACATCCCGTTTCAAATTCATTGTTTTTGTGAGGTCACATGTACCAGTGCATCTACAGAAATCCGATCATTCAGCCTAAAGCAGGTTAGCCACACAAAGGCCCAGTCCCATTTCACCCCTCGCCCCTACCACTGAGCCCTTAGCCCTCTGTTTTGCGCATTCTAGGGTTAGGATGTCCCAGTTTTTGTTGAGATAGAGGGGTACGGTGAAGTGTTGGGGCTACATGGCCCTCCAAACGGAGGATTTTCAGAGACTCCAAACAGAGTGATATGAGAAAAAACAGAAAAACCGGCGAGATGGCTGAACAAAAGACCAAAGAAACCCACAAATGTGAGAATTTTCTCTGTTAAAAATTACGATAATCATTGTTTTATCTTAGTTTAATGATGTTTCAGTGTATTATGGTCCTTTTCTTCATAACAAGCAGAAAAAAAAATGCTAATAGCATGCTAATGTCTTGGTAGCTAGCTTGCTAACTTTCCTGTTCCACCTTAAATAGTCCAGCAGTTCTGACGCCTGAAGCACCAGAATGTAACTGCTGCACCATTTAAGGTGGAACGGGAAAATTCGACTTGATTCTGACTTGAGCTTTGTATCACCAAAGAATTAGCGGTGGGTGATAATAAATAATTGCCCCCCTCTTTGAAAGGATATGATTCCCTAAATGTAACTAAAGCCCAGCAGTGAGATGCTGAACTTTACCCTCCTCTGCTATCACTAAAGATGGGCCTGGTCGCCTACAGAGCAGCGCTAGTAACCTGTTAATCAAGCAATATTTTGCTTGGGTTGTCCCATTTTGTAGGGCAAGATTTTAACCACTAACTCAGTTCCAAGGGGTTAGGGAGACACTCGAAAATAAGGGGTAGGGGTAAAAAGAAGAAATGAGATTGGGCCAAATTCATGCTGAAGTTATAAGGAGTGTTTCAGTCTGGACTGCTTTTTGAATGAGGCACAAGACAGATCAGCCAATCAGAACAGAGCTTATTTACATATATCAGTCTTAAAGGCACAGTAACATAAACAGCCTTTTTAATTCTAAGGGGTAAAGAGAGGTTGGAAAATGGTCATATAAGAATCTATTGCTGTAACTTAAAAAAATAAAAAAGATAATCACAGTACGTTGTTTATCATGTTATTCACATCTTGTTCAAATAATTCTTGGAATACTGAATAAAGCATCCAGAAATGCCTTTCGGGGGTTAGTCTTTAATATCTAGATCCACATCGTGTTATTATCGTACATAGGAGAACATAAATGATTAATATGACAAGTGATTCCAAACGTTTGATCGCTGCTGTATGTAGTGGCAAAATGTGCTTTTCTTCGTGAAAAACCAGGGTGGGGATCAGAGAGGAGCTGCTGAAAGCTGAGTTCACCAGAACAGCTGAGCCTTTTATAAACAGAAAAAGCAGAAAAATGTACCGAGTCTTCAAAAACAGACTGTCTAAAAGTGATACTGCACCGTTATGTAATAGTTCAGCTTTCAAACCTGATGGTTCTGGAAAATGTTCGCTGGTTCCCCGGTTCCTAAAATCTTGTCACTAAAAATGTCTGCACTCTGAAGTTCAGGTGTATTGAACTCTTTGTTTATTGTGTGCAGATAGAAGCTCTGAGTGGTGTGTGGGTGTCTGACAGCAGCTGTTTGAAGCAGTAGTTTGGGGGAAAAATCAAATGTATGCTGTGCCACCAGGCATTAATTGAGTGATGCCATAGAGGAACCAGGTTTGGTTCCTTAAAAAGAACCATGTTTAAAAAAGAGAGTTGTGAGTCTGAAGAACCTCCACAAACTGTAAATGTTCCATTCCGAATTAAAGGTTCTTCCTAGAACCTTTACATTATGTGGAGGTTCTTTAAAAAGATCCATTCATTTGCACATCTCCTTTACAAAAATGGTTCTTTAGGCAACATAAAGTTCGCTAAAAAACCTCCATCCATCAGATCACCAATAAGAAACCACTCTTTTGGCTCCAAAACGGCGCTTCATTCAGATGAGCCAAGTTAGTAATATTACCTATTATTTAATTTGAAATAAGTCTTAGTTTTAATTCTAATTGACAGAAAATGTAATTATATTATAAAACAATAATTCAATAAATGTGAAACTGGCAATATGTTACAGTAAGAAGTGACTGTCCAGCAAACAGAACATAACTGCCCGTACAAACACTGTACACCTTTATAAAAGATGGTTCTTCAAGGATTCTTAAGTGAAGAAAACTGTGCTATAAAGAACCATTAACACTCAAAGACCCTTAGCATGATTAAACGGTTCTTTCCATTGTGAAAGCGTTCTTCAGATTGATGGAGAATGTGCTGCAGATGGCTCTATGAAAATGGTTCTATATAGCACCAAAAAGGGTTCTTCTGTTCTTACGATGTCAAGCTTGTTACAATAGAAGAACCCTTTTTGGTGCTATGTAGAGCACTTTTCAAAAAGGTTCTATACAGAACCACTTTCTTTACTAGAAAGAACCATCTTTTTAAAGAGTCTACTTTGAGTTTAGATGAAAGACAGAAATACATAAAGAATCTGTAAGAAAAGAACATAATAAATACTGAAGGGCTGATAAATACTGAAATACTGATAGTTGCTAAGATGCTCAAGGACTTGGGGGGTGTAGGAGAAATGTGATTAATGAATTAACATCTCTCTGACTGGTGGGAGGAATAAAAAGGTTCAGGTGTCATAGATCGTTCTGTGCTCCTGTCTAATTAAAACCAGGAGCCCCAGTGCTGCTAGGCAGTGTTAGGAGTCTTGCCAAGGACTCTTATTGTTATAGTGTAGGGTGCTTACCCAGGTGGGGATTGAACCCCAGTCAACAGTGCAAAAGGCAGAGATGTTACCCCCCACACTATACCAACCAAGCAATAGACCTGCTTATGTGGTTCCTAAGACTGTATAACATACTGTTATCTCTAAGCATGGATAGAAGTACATTGGCACAGCTAAAACAATAGAAGGATGTTAAAGACTGAGTTTTATCGAATTTTATTATAATTAGAATTTGGAAAGAAACAGTCGAGTTTAGCGTTTACATTTTTGCCATGCTTTTGTAATTTATTGGCCTAGAAATGCTCAATACTGGATTGAGCACGTCGGGTGTCTCTGCACTCACGGCTCTTTCAGTGCAATTTCGGAGATCATCCAGTGCTGTGGAACCAACGACGAACGCTCTGAGCTGTTGGAGGTTCACTGCTGACGAAAATCACGTTACACAGTTATGACTGATTCATTCTTATTAAAGTGGAGAACGCAGAACGCTTTCTGCTTCATCTCCTCTCAGACTGAAGGGAGCCATCTTCTGGTGACAGTCAGAAACTCTGTGACCCCCTCTTACAATTGGTGTGTGATTGGTTCCTAGGCACCTCACGGTTGTAAAAATATGGCGGTTTGAAATCAGATTGAGTCTTTTTGAATCTCCCTGTATTACGTAACTATATCTGAATATCACACAGTTCAGAGTACGTAGTGTTTGGGGTGTTTAGACACATAACTTGTGTGAGCATTTATTCAATAGCTTTGCAGAGAACGATACAGACAGAGAAGAATAAAGCATGTAGAAGCTCAGTCCTTAGGCGACCATGCACGGAGCCATCATGACAGCTCATGACAGCTTATGATATCTGCCAAAACATGTTTATGGGATGATAATGTCAGTGTTCTGTAGCAGTGGTTGAGTGAAGTCTTATAGATTTCTCTGTAAACTCGCTCTGTATTTCTCAAAAAGACCTGATTAGACAACTGGATGAAGACTGACTTATGTCTGCGTGTCTGTCTGTTTCAGGGGAAGAGTTGCTGTGGGTTCCTGTACCGTGTCTGTCGTGTGGCTCTCCCTCTGCAGCTGCTCCTGCTGGCTCTGCTGCTGCTGGCCTTCCTGCTGCCCATGATGGACGAAGGCACCAGCTGCTCGCTGTCCAACAACTTCGCCCGCTCCTTCAACATCATGCTGCGTTACCACGGCCCGCCGCCCACCTAAACACGCACCCACGCACACCTACACGCTCCGGAGAAGCTTTTTCTCAGAGCCCCCCTCCTTCCCTGACCAGTATACCTGTGGAATGTAAACCTTATGTAATGGACTTAATACTTTTCCAAACGCTAAAAGTGAAAAACAAAGGCCTGCGGAGATGCACAGTCTACAGCTCATCCTGCGTCCCCCAGAGTCGACTACTTTAGCTTCATATTTCACACTCGGCTGGGCCCAGCAGAACAGGAGCTCGTGTGTGCGTATGTACGTATGTGTGTCTATGCATGTGTGAGTGAGTGGGTGGCTCGCTTTGACACTCGCAACCTGTTCCACATGACTCAAGCTGTTCCACTCTCTTCATCCATTCGGAGGAGGCAGTGGAGTGCAGAAGCCCTTTACAAGGCATTTCTGTCCTGCTTTGCTGTTCCACTGCGCTGCACCGCACAATAGTGCTACTGTATGTGCTCAGTTGGCATAAGTAACCTGCTTTTTCTCATGCTTCATTTCAGAAAAGCAGAATTTCCCCAGGCCATATTTTAAGCCTGAAAAACTCTAGTTATGGCTGTTTGTTTACTATATATTGCTTAAATAGGATAACTAAACTTAAATATGAATTCCACCAATTTTTCACAATTTCTGCATAATTTTACACATCTTCTGAGTTTCTGTATGTAATGCTGTATGTAATCTGAAAAAAATCATTTTTTGCAGACTATTTTGTCTTACAACAAGCTACATGTACCCCTCCAGTATTAATGGATTTATATATTTTAGACACAAATCTTCTCAGAACCATTTTAAAACATTGTCACAGGCATCAGGCAGTGAATTCATAACCATTTCATGTAATAACTTTCTGTGAGGGAGCTTTTCAAGACAGTAAACTCTTTGGATGTCTGGTTCCTATCACCACTGAATCGGCATGTTTTTCTAAAACGGAGCATTTCACACAGAACCACTAAACTACATAAACAGAATGACACTGTTTACATCTCAACCATTTAATTATGCAGAAATGTTGAAAAATGAGGAATTCCCTTTTAAATAAGTTCACTGCATAGTTAGTTACACCAGAGATAATGTAAAAGAAAGAAGAAACACTTCTCGAATGGGATAGTTTGTAATATTTAATAATAGCAATCAGTAAAAGAGCTAGGCGAATTGTTGGTAAAGGTGTAAGCAGGAAAGCTCCTTGTTTTGGAGATGTGCAGGCATAGTAGCCAAAACAACTTGGGAAGAAAAATATTTTTGTACACTATTTGAGCCAAATACCACAAAATACCACTGTCATAAGAATTTTGTTAGATTTTACCAGTTTTGACAGATTTTGCCATTTTCCACTCAACCCAATAGAACAAAATTAGCATATACAGAAACTGTTACTTCTCTATAAAATTGAATTAATGTTGACATATTGTCAGTTTGTTAGTCAAACAATCCACTTGGTTATTATTATTATCATTTCTGTCTTTAATGAATTACTTTTAGTCAGTTCTTTATCTACTTTATCTACACTTCTGACTTTTCTCCTTTTGTTTCAATGTCAAGAAATGGCAAAAACATGACGAGCGTAAAGATGGAAAGTTTTTTTCCTTCACAACACAATAACTTTTCATCAGATTCAGATCATCATCCCAGATGAAGCCACAGCCTTCTGTGTCCAGGTGTCCAAGAGAGTATAATTGTTCTCTGTTTCTCTCTGGGTGGGTGATGGTCCTCCCTCGCCCCTTATCACTCAGTCAGAGAATTAGCAGTTAGTGTTCTCCTCCAAGCGTGTTGAGCTGTTCACGCTTGACAAATGACCAGGTTATAGCAGCTTAAACCATATTTTTTAATTTCGGGGTGGACACGTTTCGGCTCATGCTGTCCTCAGCACCATAGGCAAGGCTAGTTTATTTATATAGCACCTTTTATACTCTGCGGTCATTCAAAGTGTTTTACAAATGAGAAAATACAGAGATAATTCAGATTAGAATTTGAAAAGATATATGAGGATAGAAATTAAAAACATGATTAAAACATGATTATAAACAAATTTAAAAGAGGAGAAATTAATCATTAAATTAAAAAATTAATAAAGTAGGACGGTGAAGTGCTGTTACAGGCTAGAAGTGCAGTAGAGCTAACAGTGTTTAAACTGAGCTGAAAGCTGCTCAAATATGAACGCTTTGAGCCTGGATTTAAAGTGTCCAGTGTCGGGGCTCTTTTAATGCTCTCTGTCAACTGGTTCCATTTAAGAGCAGCATAGTAACAAAATACTCAAAAGCAAAAGTCAAGTTATAATAAATTGTTCCCTTTTCTACTTACAAAAAAAAATTCAAATTTCTCCACTAGTTTGAGAAATCATTTTTAAATATTTTTTTTGCTACGCTTTTACAACTAGGCCTTGAGCACTGCATTCTGGTCTTGTCTGGAAAACCAGTCAATCATCCTGGATCTTTCAAAGTAGCAGATGGGATAAAAATTGATGTTTGACGTATTTTTATATATTTGGCGTAGACTATCTGTGTCCACCACATATTTATAGAGCACTGAACACGTTTGTAAGGGATGTTTTCAGGTTTGTTTGTTAACATATTAGTTGCCACAAACTGAAGCTGTTCCTGGAAATCGGTGTATATATTAAAGATGTCTCGTTGTCTGTTGTCAGGAGACAAATGCTCATCATATTTAACTTGCTATGCACTGTTCATATTTGCCTCAACATGAAATGTTGGTCTTCGGAGGTTCTCTGGAAATAATTATGTTAAAATCGCGTTTCTCAGCACATCGCGGCATCTTGGCATGAGCTGCGATCAGCACGTCATTGTTGGTTTCTTTTTATAAGTGTGCTTTGGAGGGTCCAGCTCATGGAATGAAAATAGCCCAGTTTGGGGGAGAATGTCCTTTTTTGAGCAGATTTCGAAGCCGCTCTGTGCCCCTTGTTGACCTCTGAGCTGTGTGTCCTTTTCTTCTGCTCGCATTTCTCAGCTGGGAGTTCTGTAGGCCCAACTGTTTCTACAGCAACCAAGACCAAAATCCAGTTATTCTATTAGGATCCCGAAATGAATGGCAGTTTAAAAGCTTTCTTTTTTCATATGGTTTTGTGTGACTTAGATTATGGCTGTTTGTATTGTGCAGAACAGCAAACGTTTTACAGACAGGGGCGCTGAATGAGAGCCCGCCAAAGTGAAAAGCTCTGCTGGTGTGCATGTATTTTGTGTACTTCATTCATCGCCATTGGGAGACAGTAAATCTAAATCATAGAAAGCTTGCATGGCTTTGTGTTTTGGAGCAGTGTTAAAGGGGTAGTTTGGGTAAAGAATCATATTTACACAGTTTTCTGTTTACTCAAGATGTATTAAATCAGCCATGATGTGTTTGGTGTCCAAATTTTGCTACTTTAGTTTAGAGGGGGCAGTCGTGGGCTGGAGGTTTGGGAACCAGCCTCGTGACCAGAAGGTCACTGGTTTGATCCCCTGAGCTGACAGTATGTGACTGAAATGCCCTTGAGCAAGACACCTAACCCCCAACTGCTCCCTGGGCGCTGTGGATAGGGCTGCCCACCGCTCCGGGCAAGTGTGCTCACTGCTCCCTAGTGTGTGTGCATTCACTAGTGTGTATGTTGTGGTGTTTTGCTGCATGGATGGGTTAAATGCAGATGTGAAATTTTCCCACTGTGCAACTAATAAGGGTCACTTAATTAGAGCTACGAGGCTAATGTTGCTAACAAACACTAGAATTCAGTGGGCACCCAAATAGCCCAAATCATGTCCTTAAATCACTATACATCACCAGAACTTCTCTCAACCTGCTCAAATTGCATGTCTTCATTAAGCATGAATTTACATAGATTTTCTAATTCTTGCTAAAATGAAACTGATGGATAAAATTCCCTTGCTGGAGAAGACAGAGCCTTAAAGACTCAACTTTCATTCAGAAACAGTGTTTGAAGCTGTTCTTGAGCTGTTTCAGAGTTTTCAAACAGCATCAGCTGTTCAGTTGTAGTCAAACATAACAGGCTGTGTTGTGCAGAGTACATATACTGTGATTTGCCTTTTCTTCCTTGTACTTAGAGAAAATATTTGGGTGACTATTGACTCATGGTTTTTTAGCGACAGTAACCTCGTAGCTCCAGTTCTAAACTAATGAAGCAAAATTCAGACACCAAACATGCCTTCGCCGATCAACTACATCTGGAGTAAATAGAAAATAGTGTAAATTAGATTTTTGGCCGAACTATTCCTTTAAATACACTCTTACTGTACTGCTATACTGTATGGCTTTTATGAAACCTTCATGTTTTTAGCATTCTTTTAAACAATGCAATGCAACACCTTCCTGTTTACTCATGAAGAATTCTTAATTTAACTCAAACTTCATTTCTACTTGATGAAAAGTTGCAACCATTGTAACCAAACTAGTGTAGATCATGTTCATCTGCACTTAATCAGTTGAAATATGCTGCATTTCAGACGTTTTGCTTGTGATTTACTGCACTGCGATGATTTTATGTCATTTTTTTTGTCCTTGCAAACCCTTTAAAATTTCAGTAGCACTTTATTTGAAGGCTGCCTACATAATGACTTCATAACACATGCATAAGCATTGAATGAGATGAATGAGATATAAAGCAAGGCTTGGGTAAATATGAATGGCGTATGCCAGTGATCACAAGATGGCATAAGATGTATGAGGTAAACGACATTATACTGACAAAAGCCTTTAAATTAAAGTGACATTAGGTACATTTATAACACTGTTATGATGCATTGTTCCCACGTAATAGGACTTATAAGGCAGAGGCCTTATTAGGAGCACCGTGTATGCCTGTTTGATGCTTTTTGAAGTATTTTAGTATCAAAAGTAAATAAAAGAAATTGCAGCTTTGTTAACTTGTTAAATGGAAACATTTAAAACTTGTAGGACATTCCTAACTGTGTCTCTGTTCTGTTACGATGCTTCATAACAGCGTTATAAATGAAACAACTGTCTCACTTTAGTTTAAGGCCCCTTATGTCAATGCAGTGTCATCTAACATTTTATGTCACCTTGTGATTACTGCCGTAAGCCATTCATAACTCAAGTATTGGTATATAAATCTGCCATTCAATGCTTATACTTGTGTTATAAGGCGTCTATGTAGGTAGCCTTCAAATAAAGTATTACTAGAAGTTTAGATGTCCACTGTGTAGTGGACCTTTACAGAAGACCGATATGATATTGTATTATACCTCACAGCAGCATGTGTAGGAATCAAACTGCTCAGACGCACACTGGGGCTGAACCTGAAGTTGGCATGAGATGGTGCTTTAGCATTGCTCTGATTCCAATGCTAATATCAGTTGACTTATCTGTAGCACTGTGCATGACCAAGAGAATATTCTGTTCAGGACCAGATGATGTTTTCGCAATGTGGTAAATGAGAACCGATTATGCAAATATTTGGAGATTTTTCTGCATATAAGCTTTCAATGTTGACCACTTGCTATGTTAAAGAAGTGTATGTTGGGCTATAGCGAGTCCATCCATTTTTGCAAAGGTTCAATCGTTTATTTTCCTACTATATTTTGAAATGTATGACATGCCTATATTCTATCTTAAAGCTGATATATTTAACCGTTATTTTTGTATTGTTCCCTTGGCAATAAATATGCAACATACATGCAATGTCTGAACTAATTTCTTAGTGTTATCAATGGCATTTATTGCATGCAGTCTTGTGTTCTCCCACACTGCTGTGTCTTATACAGTCGTAACAGCGCCACACACACTACCATGTGTCACTGCTGTGCTGAGAATGGACCACCTCTCAAATAATATCTAGACAACAGTGACCCTGTGGTCATAAACTGACCTGTGATGAACGGGGTAGAGGGGAGCTGATGAACTGTGCAGCAACAGTTGGGTTATAGTAAATAACTGCAGATAGAGATCATGAAGTGGCCAGTGAGTGGAAGCACAAGTGATCCTAATAAAGTGGTCAGTAAGTGGAAGCGCAAAGTAGGTGTTTCTAATAAAGTGGCCAGTGAGTGGAAGCACAAGGTAGGTGTTTCTAATAAAGTGGCCAGTTAGTAGAGGCACAAGGTAGGTGTTTCTAATAAAGTGGCCAGTGAGTGGAAGCACAAGGTAGGTGTTTCTAATAAAGTGGCCAGTTAGTGGAAGCACAAGGTAGGTGTTTCTGATAAAGTGGCCAGTTAGTGGAAGCACAAGGTAGGTGTTTCTGATAAAGTGGCCAGTTAGTGGAAGCACAAGGTAGGTGTTTCTAATAAAGTGGCCAGTTAGTGGAAGCACGAGGTAGGTGTTTCTAATAAAGTGGCCAGTTAGTGGAAGCACGAGGTAGGTGTTTCTAATAAAGTGGCCAGTGAGTGGAAGCACGAGGTAGGTGTTTCTAATAAAGTGGCCAGTTAGTGGAAGCACAAGGTAGGTGTTTCTAATAAAGTGGCCAGTGAACGGAAGCACAAGGTAGGTGTTTCTAATAAAGTGACCAGTGAACGGAAGCACAAGGTAGGTGTTTCTAATAAAGTGGCCAGTGAGTGGAAGCACTAGGTAGGTGTTTCTAATAAAGTGGCCAGTGAACGGAAGCACAAGGTAGGTGTTTCTAATAAAGTGACCAGTTAGTGGAAGCACGAGGTTGGTGTTTCCAATAAAGTGGCCAGTGAGCGTAGAGTAAGCACTCTTGAGGATCTAGATATCTCTGTAGTTGGAGTGGCACCGTGGCAGGAGGAGGCATCTACTAGCTGTATTGGTAAGTTCTCTGGTATGAGGTATCACAGGAGGAGTGAGCCTCACCCTTCTGGTGTGTTTGGCCAGTTGTGATGTTTGTTACAGGGCAAAGCATAGACTGGAACTTGTAGTTCTGATCTCGTGCTGGGAGATATATAATCTGTAACACCATGATCAATGATGGTGGATGTACAAGTTTAGTGAAGATGACATTCATAAATGAAAAGTTTAAATAATTATAAGCAAAGAAAAACATCCAGAACGATTCAGAGATAAAAAAAACAATTGGACAATTATCAATTATCAAAAAAAGACAATTATCAAACAAGAACAATAAACACTGTTAAAGTTTTAAAATGCACACTTCGCTCCCCAGACCATACAGTCCATATGTGGAATATAAGCTGTCAAAACAATCTGGTTGTTTATTACAGCTTCCATTCTTTTCTAACCCAAACACATTCAGTGATGTTGAGGTCTGGACTCTGGGGTGGTCAGTCCAGTGTTCAGCTTCTTTGTTTGATGTGTCCGTCTCCTTTTCTCAGTGAGGTTCTTCCTGACAGCTACACATCCTTTCAGACCCACAGCGCTGAGTCGTCTTCTCACAGTGGAAGGATGGACAGAAACACCTGTGGATGTTTTCAGATCTGAAGCAGCTTGATTTTCTCCTCTCTCTCAGAGATGAAAGCTTTAAGTGCTGTTTATCTGATGGGGGCAGTTTTGGTGTCCACCAGGTCTTCCAGGTGGTTGTTATGAGGCACGTTTTCTCTGTAGCTTTTAATCATTGTTTCAACTCCAGTTCTGGAAACTCCTGTTTTTCCCCTTGTTTTTCCTTTGGCGTTCTCCTTCCTTATGCAGGAGGATTGTTTTATATGTAATCTCACAAATATCTCCTGGAAAAATTATTAACATGTGCTTAATCTCTGTTTTGACTGGAAAGTAAATCAGTGAAGGTTCTCTGACTTTTGCACAGTGCTGTTTGTAGAAAGCCTTTCCTTATTTATGTGCCAGAGAAGACCTGCTACCCACTCAGTGGTATCGCCCACCTCTGCCAGCCGGAACTGAAGGGGAATTCCAGAGCTTTTTATCAGGATCTGCTCCAGAGATTTGAGCCCTCACTGTCAAACATTAACAGACTGAAGGACCAGCAGTCAGCCTGTTTAACAAGTCGCACCACTTCGGACAATCATACCGAAACATAACACCAGGAAACAGGCCGGACTGAGCCTCACTCTCAGGAGCTTTCTGTCTGTCTGTCTTTCTGTCTGTCTGTCTGTCTTTCATTCTTTCTTTCTTTCTGTCAGTCTGTCTGTCTTTCTGTCTGTCTGTCTGTCTTTCATTCTTTCTTTCTTTCTGTCTGTCTTTCTTTCTTTCTTTGTTCTTGTCTATCTTTCTGTCTGTCTGTCTGCCTTTCTTTCTTTCTTTCTTTCTTTCTTTCTTTCTTTCTATCTGTCCATCTTTGCTTCTTTCTGTCTTCCTTTCTTTCTTTCTGTCTGTCTGTCTGTCTTTCTGTCTTTCTTTCTTTCTTTCTGTCTTTCTTTCTTTCTGTCTTTCTTTCTTTCTTTCTTTTTTCTTTCTATCTGTCCATCTTTGCTTCTTTCTGTCTTTCTTTCTTTCTGTCTGTCTGTCTGTCTTTCTGTCTTTCTTTCTTCTTGTCTATCTTTCTGTCTTTCTTTCTGTCCGTCTTTCTTTCTTTCTTTCTTTCTTTCTTTCTGTCTGTCTTTCTTTCTTTCTTTCTTTCTTTCTTTCTTTCTTCTGTCTTTCTGTCTGTCTGTCTGTCTTTCTTTCTTTCTTTCTTTCTTTCTTTCTTTCTTTCTTTCTGTCTATCTGTCTGTCTTTGTTTCTTTCTGTCCTCCTTTCTTTCTTTCTGTCTGTCTTTCTTTCTTTCTTTCTGTCTGTCTTTCTGTCTGTCTCTCTGTGTCTTTCTTTCTTTCTGTCTGTCTGCCTTTCTGTCTTTCTTTCTGTCTGTCTGTGTTTGTCTTTCTTTCTGTCTGTCTTTCTCTCTTTCTGTCTGCCTGTCTGTGTTTCTGTCTTTCTTTCTGTCTGTCTTTCTTTCTGTCCTTCTGTCTCTCTGTCTATCGTTCTTTCTTTCTTTCTGTCTGTTTGTCTGTCTTTCTGTCTTCTTTCTTTCTTTCTTTATTTTTTTCTATTTTATTAATTTATTCCTTTGTGTTTGGGACATGCATATCATAGCTATAATATAACAACATTTCCTAATAAAACTATTCATAAACAGTGTCTGTCCTGAACCTGTGAGCTCACTGAGCTCCACCGAAGTCTCTGCATTATAACGGATGAGGCAACTGGTTGAAAAATGAATAGGAAAGTTAATTTGGCAGCTGTTTGCAGGAAAGGTCCCGCCCTTTGTGCCAGCTTTTACCAGTGATTTAAAACGTGCATTTGAAACCTTAATGTGGCTTCCAGTTTCGACTTTACAGGTCTTTCCAGTTAGCTTTACCTCTGGTTCCACTCAGATAGCAAACTTTTCTAGATAACTTCTCTGAAAAACACCAGACCTTTAAGACAGCAGTAGCAGTGAGAAATATTGAAGCATTTAGTAAATTTCATATAGTGTGGAACATAAACAGATCAAGTACATTAGTTTATGTATCACAGTAAAAACATTTGTACCAGATTAGTTGGTTCTTTAATGGTTCTTTAGTAAAGAAAAAGGTTCTATGAAGAACCATGAACACTCAGAGAACCCTTTGCATGATTAAAGGGTTCTTTGCATCATGACATTTGAAAAGTGTTCATCTATCGTAACAAGGTTGACATCGTAACAAAAGAAGAACCCTTCTGGGTGCTAAATAGAACTCTTTCATGATGCAAAGAACCCTTTAATTATGTAAAGGGTTCTTTGATTGTCCATGGTTCTTTATAGAACCTTTTTCTTTACTAAAAAAACCCTTGAACCATGTTTTTAGGAGTGTACAGCTGACACCACCAATTTGGAGAAACAATGAGAAACAGGTTCTATATAGCACCCAGAAGGGTTCTTCTATTGTTACGATGTCAATCTGAAGAACCCTTTCATAGTGCAAAGAACCCTTAAATCATGCAAAGCGTTCTTTAAGTGTTCATGGTTCCTTATAGAACCTTTTTCTTTACTAAAGAACCCTTGAAGAACCATCTTTTTTAAGAGTGTAGTTCTGGAATTGTGTGAGATGATTAGGATGAAACGAGGCTCCGCCCACAAATGCATTCTTTCATAGTAACGGTTGCTAGGTTGGACCAGCTTTACAGAACGCTGGTTAAAACCCCCATTCAGCCTAATGAACTCAGGTTGGACTTTAGACGAGCTACATAACGTTGAGTTTCTGGTTTGTGCTACTCAGCTGATCTGTGTTTTTGAAGCAAACAGAAACTAGAAAGGAAAACTGTTTTGCCATCATGCTAACGTAATTACATAACATAAAACCTCGGACCTCTCCTAGCAGTGTAGACAAATTAATTCATAATTAATCATTAATAATGTACTCAAACTGTCTGTATTTTGAGAAAATCTGAGTGTTGTAGTTTCTGATTAGGTTAAATGAGATTTTTACCAGCATTTTCTAACGCTTGTCCAGCAGTTGCCTTATTATTTTTATTATCATTATTATTACTAGGGCGGCATGGTGGCGCAGTGGGTAGCGCTGTCACCTCACAGCAAGAAGGGTCTGGGTTTGATTCCCGGCCGGGCGTCCAGGGTCTTTTCTGTGTGGAGTTTGCCTGTTCTCCCCGTGTCTGCGTGGGTTTCCTCCGGGTACTCCGGTTTCCTCCCACAGTCCAAAAACATGCAGTCAGGCTGATTGGAAATGCTGAATTGCCCCTAGGTGTGAGTGTGTGATTGTATATGTATGTCTGTCTGTCTGCCCTGCGATGGACTGGCGACCTGTCCAGGGTGTATCCTGCCTTCCGCCCAATGACAGCTGGGATAGGCTCCAGCACCCACCGAGACCCAGAAGGA